CCGTTGGAAAATGAGGCAGAATTGTAGTTAATGAATTCAGGTATTCATTTAAAAATGACAAATAATGAGCCTCGCCCTGGAATCACCCCAGAGCCTGGGTGCCCCCCTGGCCGTGATCTTCCCGATTGGAACTGTGCCTGTTGGGGTGATGCTGTCACCAGCTGTTTCCCCTCCTCACTTTTTTCTGAGCTGCTGGTCCCCATCGGCCTGTCCTAGGACACCCAGGCACTGCGTCCCTACTGTGTGGCTGGGCCAGGGAGGTGGGTGTTACCTCCAGCTCCCGCAGAACAGGATGGTCCTCGATGCCGGGGAACAGGACGCGCATGGCATAGGTACGATAGTCCAGGTAGGGGATTCCTGAGCGGTCCAGGTCGCTGGTCAGCTCAATGATGTCTGTCTGGAGTTCAGCAAAAGCTACAAAAGGGCAGCAGAGACAGGGAGGTTCAGGACAAGAACCCCAGCAGAAAGGGGAAGGTAGGAGAAGTTTGTGAAGAAGGAGGGGGGTCTGGGAGTACAGACAGGGAGGGTTATAGGGGTACATCTCCAGACAGGATGGGGTCTCTCCAGGCTGCCTTTCTTAGGTGGTGGGAATATGGGTGATTTCTATGTTATTTCCTTTTTTGTGTTTATCTATAAATTTTAATTTTCTTTGTACGTATGACAAGAAAAAGGAAGAACACCATGACCTGTCATGCAGGTGCTACAGGTGCTGAAAGCAGGTGAGTGGCCAAGCAAAGACCAAAACAGGAAGCTTTGATGCCCCTTTTGAGACCTTGTTGTTGATGAGCTGGGCGAAGAGCTGGGTGAAGAGAATAAATCAAGATGCAAAAGCTTGGGGGACAGTAAAAATCAAAACCACCATGAGATAGTGTAGCTATTACAAAAAAAATGGAAAATAACAAACGTTGGCAAGGATGTGGAAATATTGGAACCATCACATATTGCTGGTGGGAATGCAAATAGGTGCTGTCACTTTCGAAAACAATTTGGCAGTTCCTTAAAATATTAGAATTACCATGTGACCCAGCAATTCCGCTCCTAGGTATCTACCCCAAAGAACTGAAAGCAGGAGTTTGAAAAGATACTTGTACACTCATGTTCACAGCAGCATTATTCACAATATCGGGGTGGAAATAACCCAAATGTGCAAGATGAATGGAGAAGCAAAATGTGGTCTATACAGTCAGTGGAATATTATTCAGCCTTAAAGTAGAATGATAGTTTGACACGTGCTACAACATGGATGAATCGGGAAGACATTAGGCTAAGTGAAATAAGCCAGGGAAAAAAGGACAAGTACCATATGATTCCACTTATGTGAGGTCCCTAGAGTTGTCAATCTCATGGGACAGAAAGTACAATGGCAGTTGCCAAGGGCTGAGTGGCAGGGGTGGGGTGCGGGGGTGGTTATTGCTTAGTGAATACAGTGTTTTAGTGGGGATTGAGAAAGTTCTGGAGATGGATGGTGGTGATGGCTGTACAACGTGAATGTACTTAATGCTACGGAATGGGAGAAGGGGAGAGCCCTGGGGCGTAGAGACAGTGAGGCAGAACAGGCAGAGGCGGAGGGGAACACAGGTGACCAGGGGCTGGAGGAAGCGGGGCGGGGAGTTTGTGGCTAATGGGTACAGAGTTTCTGTTTGGGATGACAGAGAAGTTCTGGAGATGGATGGTGGTGATGGCTGTACAACGTGAATGTACTTAATGCTACGGAATGGGAGAAGGGGAGAGCCCTGGGGCGTAGAGACAGTGAGGGTTAAAATGGTAAAGTTTGTGTTATGTGTATTTTAACACACACACACTCATATACATGAGAAACTGAGAACAAAACCAAACCCAGCCTTGGGGCATCCTGGCCATTTGGCCCTCAACCGACAGGGGAGCACCCCCTTGGCGGCAGGCCTGTCTCCTGGTACCCTCCTCTCCCCTCCTCCCCAGCCCTGGCACCAGGAGGAGCCCCTGACCACCTTTGCTCAGCCCAGCTCTTCCCTCTCATCCAGCAGGGGGCTTGTTTCTGATCCTGATGTTTGCAGCAAAAGAAGAAATGTTTTGATTCCTAATGGAAATGTTTACCCAGAGAGCTCACTGGGTCCTCAGCCCCCGGGACGGCAGGTACACTCATTGCCTCACGGCTGTGGTTGCGTGGGAGACCGGAGATGGAAAAACACACATCCTCCACTCCCACACATGTCCATGGCCAAGGACAGCACAAGCGCAGCTTCAGAGCGCTCAGCCTGCTGCACAGAGGAAAACAAATCCTGGAGTGGGAGGCAGGTGAGATGCTCCTGCCGTTCCTGCTGCTGCTCCTGCTGCTGCCCCTTCCGCGTGCCCAGGGCCTCTGCAAAGGGGGCCAGGCCCTCCCACGTGGGGGAGCGGGAGGCTGAGATTCTGATGGAGGGGGACTGGGGCCCTGAGAGGGAGATGAAGGCAGCCAGACTGAGGCACCCGTCAGGGCAAAGGACAGACCAATGCGATCAGGCCTGGGCCTCACTCTGGGCATTAACAGGACTTCTCTGGTCCCGAGGGCACAGGAAACGGAGGTCAGAGTGGAGCACAATGGCTGGGGTGGGGAGGAAGGAAGTGAAGATGAGCGCTGTTGGTAAGGAGGGAGGCAGTAAGTTCGCTAAAGGCAGAGTGCCTCCACGCACCTTCCTTACACTCCAGGGCCACACGGGACTCCAGGTTGTCCATCTGCATCTGGAGCCTCTTCAGCGTGAGGTCGTTTTCTCGAGATTTCCGCTTGTAGGCGATGAGGACGATGATGACGATGATGAGGAGGAGGCTGCCTCCCGCCGCGATGCTGACGATGGCTGGCAGGGTCAGCAAGCTGTCTGAGACGACACTCACCGAGCCCGGAGAGAACACCATCCCGCCCACGTGGACCTGCGCATGGCACACACACAGACGCTGTAGAGCCCTGGCATGCCATCGGATCCTCATCGTTTCAGAAAGGACACGAGAGACCACAACCACACAGTGCAGTCTGTATGCAAAACAACATCCTGCTGATTATCTAATCCCCCTCCCCGATTCTTGTGTTCTCAACTGCTATCCATTTCCCATTTTAATGCAGGACGTGGAGAGGGAAATGGACTAGAAGGAAGAGAGAGCCTTTATTAGGGCAGATCATGTATGTACGGTGAAGAGGGGAGGACATAATATGAAGAACAGGGAACACTCACCATGACCTTGTGCTGCCCCGTGAGGTTGGGGGGCTCGCAGAGGAGCTGTGTCTCAGACACAGTGACGGCACACGGGGTCTCTCCAATCAGCACCGTGTAATTGAGTTTGGCGCCTCCAGAGGCAGGAGGGCAGAGGTTTTTGCCCTGTAGATAACAGTCATCTTAACAGGAATAATTGACACATGCGCTCAGAAGTTAATTGCCTTTTTCAAAAAAAGGTGAAGGGGATAGATTAAGGAGGGAAGTGCAGCAGTGCAAAAACCAGTGGGTGACTCCATGGTAAGCTTTGAGAGGACTTTAAACAGCCACAATTTAGATAGAAAGAGAGAAAGCAGATGGAGGAGAGAAAGAAGGAGGAAGAGAGTAGGAAAGAGAGAGGAAGGGGAGACAGAACACTAAACAAGTGAAAATTTGGGGAGGACACCTCGGGTATCACTGGAAGCGGTGGACTAACAAAACACTTGTCCCAGGGACGTGACTTCCTGAAATATGTGCACAGATTACAGTGGCCACAACAGCGATCAAGAAAGGCAATGGTGACTTTCAAGTTCACGGCAGCCCTTTTGGGTCCCAAGGCTCATTAGAACAAGCAGCAATACTCCATAGTGTTTCTCAGGAATCTCAGGTGCAAGATACAGGGTGGGGCAAAGGTAGGCTGACAGTTGTTCGTATGGAAAAGAATCTATATAATAAAAGCCTAAGCGACCATTATGACGGAACAACCAGAACAACCAGTTGCTATGATGCGCACTGACCACTAGGGAGCACACACTCAATGTAGGAGCTGCCCCCTGGTGGTCAGTGCGCTCCTACAGGAGGAGCACCACTCAGCCAGAAACCGAGAGGTAAGGAGCCTGCTGGTAAGGAGCAAGGGATCCTGGATTGTGAGAAGCCGGCAGGCAGACATCTCCTGAGGGGTCCTGCACTGCGAGAGGGTGCAGGCCGAGCTGAGGCCCACTGCTCCCTCCCCGGTGCACGAATTTTGTGCACCGGGCCTCTAGTAGAATAATAATAACACAAGAATAAATTCTGTGTTCTGCATATTCACAACTGTAAAGCTACATTGCCCCACCCTGTACATCGCCCGATGGGTCAATATCTACAAATAAGCTCCCTTTACAGGGAGAGGACAGCTTTGCGAGTCCATCCTGTGTAGAAAAGAGAACATAAAAGGCAAAGAGAGAGGATGTTCTCTACCATCCCCGCCCTCCCCACGTTCCTACCTTCAGAATGATGGGGGATCCTGGCTTCTGATTCAAGACTCCAGTGGGGCTGAGTAGTTCGAAGGTTGGGTTGGGATAGTAGATGAACTTGGTGTCATTGTAAATGAGCAAGGACTGGACATTGTTAAAGACAAAGCCAAACTCGTCTGGCCGTTCCACATTGTCCAGGCCGGGCCGGTAGTCCGTGGTCAGAGAGGGTGCCAGGCAGGTGAGGGTGGTGTTGTTCACAACTTTACATACCTACAAGGCCCAGAGAGCAGCATTCAAGTGCCTAGTGAGCGACCGGGGGTCTGCGGGGCCCCTCCCACCCTCTGCTTGCTTTGGCCATTACTATTAGGCTACTGCTTGTCTTCATTACATAGTGAACCCCTTGAAGAAAAGGGCTGTGAGACTAATTTTGGGGGGGTTGCATTTTAACCTTATTCATTCATTCATTCATTCATTCACCAACATCGCTTGAGTGCCTCCTTTGTGGCAGATGTTGTGCTAGGAGTTGGGGCTACCTGGTGAATAGTGACAGTCTACAGGGGTAGACGAATGATTCAAGCATTCAAGTTCTAGTCCTAGCAGAGGACTGAGAACACAGGAGGTGGATGAATGGATATAAGGAAGGTCCTAGTGGGGTGGTACCAGGTACAGGGGACTGTCAGTGTGTGGCCATGGGCATGTGTATGAGTGCACATGGCTCACGGAAGCTTCCCCAGGGAAGAAATAAATGAAATGTAATCTGAAGAATGAGTGGGACTTACCTAGACAAGGAGAGGGAGGGATTGGGGAACAAATCCCAGCAACAGGATGAGAGCATAGAAGGTTTGAGGAAAACGTGGGATGCAGTGCTGGGTGTGAGTGTGAGTATGGCGGGGAGCTGGGGGTGGAGCCGGACATCATGTGAGATAAGCACTTTGCTGGCACATAGTAGGTGTTCAGTTAATGTTTACTGACTACATTGATTCATGATAAGGAGTCTTCAACTCTTTAAATGTTCTACGTAGAATCTCTCTCTCTTTTCCAACCAAGTCCCCTAACTTCGAGGGAATGTAGCCTTGGTATGGACACTGAGCTTGAAATGTCCTTTCTTTATTGGTGGACGCTGGTCTCCCAAATAAAATCCTAGCTGGGCTGACCCCTCCTTAGCATGAGGTGTGTTATGCTCTCCTCTGGCTTAGAACTGGGGCTGCCCGAGGCCGCAGCTGGAATGAAGAAACCACTACGGGACCCACGTGGGGCTTGGGAAGAAACTTGGACTCCTAGCTCCCGGCTCAGTTTCGGTCTTGGGAGCCATGGTGTCCCAGCAACAGCCAAGGGCATCTGTGAGAACTCGGCCTGCTCAAGTACACACTGTCCTGGCAGGTCCGCACATGTGTGTCTGGCCAACATACGCACACATGGACTTCATGCTCAGAAAACAAGGCCGTGTGTGAAATTGCGAAAAGGCTGCCACTGGCACAGAGATGAGGTCAGAGCTCCCAGGCCAAGCCTTAACCCTCTGCTCCCAGAGGCCATTTGTGTTTCAATCAACAACTCACCGAGGGCTTCCTGCCATCTTGGAGGTCAGTCCCCATCCCCACCCTTTTCAGCTCACACTTCAGCAGCCCTTAGGAGCCCAATGTCCCTTTCATGTTTCAGCTGGGGACACCCTGGCGCGAGGAAAATGGGGGTGCAGTCTAAGGGTAGAGTTGAGCCAGGGAGACTGAAACCCCGGGGTTTGCGGGCAGACACGCAGCCAGGGTGCCTCTCTTCCCTCCCCGCCCCACCTCCTTCCCCGCTCTTTCCAGTTCCCCAGACTGGGCTCCTCCGCGAACACGCAGATCACTCCCCAACAAGCGGCCTCTGTTTGCTTCCTGCCGGGTGCTGCATCGGCATTTTGATTGCCAGACATTCCTTGGGGTTTTGCGGCCTTGGCTTTGGCCCTTCTCACTTTTCACTAGGGGCTGCTTCATGGCCCAAAGGCAAGGAGAGGCCCCAGTCGGCTGAGGCTGCCATGGGGCCCAGGCTGGGCTGAGGGGCCCAGCGCTTCTCTCCCACAACCCTGAGGGGAAGGCCCAGGGCGGAGTTCACGGGCTTCCCGCTGTGGAACTGGCCCTCCCTCTCCATCTGCCTGCCTGCAGGCCCCAGGCAGGTCACTACTGAAGCTGAGGGCCCCAGCCCAGGCTTCTCCTCAGTGGCTTTCCCGGGACCGAGCGTCAGCCTGGGAGGCCGACCTCGTCAGGCACATCCTCACTCTCCCAAATTCCCCTGTGCCATGTGAACCATGCCTCGTACTGTCTGTGTCTGATGCTTTCACATCTGGGCCTCGCTGACTCTGGAGGGACTGCCCCTCCCCAGACTCGCCAATCCCTAGGGACCATTAACAGCGTGCCGCCTGCTAGCGCGTGCTTTCTAAGGCAGACAGCTCATCAGCCCACACCCCAACCACCTCCTTCCACACTGTGGGCAACTATCCACCTTCCCTGACTCTACCAGGGCTGGGCGCCAGACAACCAGGGCCCCTCTGCCCCACGGCCCATTGAAATGATCATGATCCAAACTGGCCCCAAACCTGCCTGCCTTGCCTGGCTAGTTCCTTCCTGTGGAAACCAAAATAGTTGTCTTTCCTCCTTCTGCTTCCTAACCTACTCTGCGGCTTCCTCTCCCCATCCCCCACACCCCATGGAATGCCCTCCCCCCACCTCTTTCTTGGGATCTGTGAGTATTTTGTTGTTTGTTAATCCTCACCTGAGGATATTTTTCCATTGATTTTTAGAGAGAGTGGAAGGGAAGGGGAGAGAAAGAGAGAGAGAAACATCGATGTGAGGGAGACACATCCATTGGTTGCCTTCTGCATGCACCATGACCAACCCTGGGGATTGAGCCTGCAGCCAAGGTACATGTCCTCAACTGAATCAAACCCAGGACCCTTCAGTCTGCGGGCTGACGCTCTATCCACTGAACCAAACCGGCCAGGGCGGGATCTGGATTAACAAACTATCCAATGGCAGTCATCTCCTGATCTGTTGGCCTTGTCATACCTGAATAATAAAATCTAAATTTTAAAAATGCACCTAATTTTGGGGGAGTTTTATTTTTCCTGAGTGTGAACTCACCATTCCCATTCCTACCCCTCATGCTCTTCCCTTCCATGTAGGCCCCGGAGTTGGGCAGATGGAGGTGGTCTGTGAGCTATGGGGCAGTGGTCTCGGTCTGGAAGTGGAGCTGGGGCACGGATTCTTTACCCGGGGGTCACGCTCTACACCCGGGATAAGGAGACATGTGCTCCTCTAGCGCAAAAAGCTGTGATCGTGGGGTGTAGACGGTTGCAAAAGGTGTCCCCATGCCTGGCATGATGGAATGCCACGTCTAGGAGCAACTCATGTGGTTTAGTTATGAAGGAATTCAGTGGTTGAGCATTGACCTATGAACCAGAAGATCAGGGTTCGATTCCCAGTCAGGGCACATGCCCAAGTTGCTGGCTTGATCCCCAGTGGGGGGTGTGCAGGAGGCAGCTGATCAATGATTCTCTCTCATCATTGATATTTCTATCTCTCTCTCCCTCTCCTTTCCTGTCTGAAATAAATAAAAAAATATATATTTTTTAAAAAGTCCAGATATTTGGGATCTAGCTTGGTCCTGCCACCAGTCATCTGCATGGTTGGGGCAAGTCATTATTCCTTTCTGGCCTCAGTTTCCTCAACTGTGAGGGGGTGGGCCCAGATGACCCCTGAGAGCTTCCAGGTCCAGCCTTCTAGCATCCTGTCATTTAGTGCATTTCTGTTTCCTAAGGAAGCCTCAAGCACTACGGGAATGTGTCAGAGATGAAGGTAGACATAGAGCCATCCTCCCCATCAGCATCTCAGCCTCGTCAATCCCCCGAAGGTCGAAGCAGTAATGATAGCCATTTATTTGAAAAATAATGGCCATAATTCATAGTGCCAGCATCTCCTGGACTATAATTATAAATACAATAACGTTTCAGAAAATATTGGCCAAGAAGAGCCACTAGAACAAACTAAAATATTTATAACATATCAGACATTCTGCCCTTATGATAGAAAACTTCTTTAAAATCACAAAAAATCCATAATGAAAGAAATGGAATTACATGGCTCTGCTCAGAGGAGTAAAGTAAAATGTTCAACCTGATCATCTTACCAACCAGCATGGGTTTATTCGCATGCAGTGACTGCCATTTGTCAAGTGCCAACCTTGTGGGGGCCAATGGCTGCAGGTGACCAATCTGCACGCGAGTCTTGGCACCATATGAAGTGACGGGGGCTGGGGGATCAGAGAGGTTAGATGACTTGATCATGGTTGTTCAGCTAATCAATGGCAGTGCCCTGCTTCCGATCCAGAAGTACCTGAATTTGGAGTCAGAACCTTCACCCT